GGCTAAAATACGTAGAACGTAGACATCTGGGTCTACGAACGTAGACGTTCGTAGACAAAGCGAGATTCTAAGGAGCGACAAGAAACCCAGGCGAGCCATTAGGAGAATGGGCGGCGCGACTACAAGGTCTTGCAAGTTATTGCAACTTTAGTACCGCTTTAGAAGAAGATATATCAAGTCTATCTTTTGTAAAGGCTTTGGAAATAGCTGAACAGGCAGCTTACACGAGAGGCCAAGGTTCTAGTAAGAAGTGAAACGGGTAGTAGCATCAAGGATGAGCGAATATTTCGCAGCAATATAACTGCGAACTAAAGTGATCAGTAGTACAATTGTACAGCAATATTATGAGTGTGTTTTAAGTTGTAATTGGTGTTCGGTAATTGTCAATTTTGGTAATTCAATCGGTATTTTCACTCTCACGAACCCCAAGCTTGTAACAATAATAATAACATTATAGTGGACAGCTATGAAAGTGAAGTACAAAAATTATTAAATACGTACGCTGACTTGTGGAGTAAAGAACGAGGGGCATTTAACAAATTTAAATTTACTTTGGACCTTAAAGATAACGCGCTACCAAAATTTTTAAGTCGTGAACTGTGCTTTTTGCTCTGTAAGATAAAATAAATTCCGGAATAGTTTCCTGATTCCGGTAAATTACTCTAAATATGCGACGCCTGTCGTACCCGTATTATAGGAGAACAGTAAAATAAAGGTCAAGGGTGATTACCCATTAACATTAAACAAAGACCTACTACTCGATAAATATCCTATGCCGCGCATAGAAGGAAGTCCTCGCGAAAAGAGATGTATGAAAATTGATTTAGGCAACGCACACAATCAGTTCATATTATGCGAGGAGTCACAGGATTTTACCACCATTAATAAAACCCGTGGCTTATTCAAATATAGCCGGTTTGTATATGGTTTGGTTAATGAGATGGCTATATTTCAAATGACTTTGGAAACCTTGTTAACATGTATTGACGGTGTTAGTTGTAAGCTCGATGACGTTTGTATCACGGCTTGTATCACGTTTTGTAGCACGGTTACATGAAGTTCTAGATAGGCTTAAAGGTACAGGCTTAAAACTGCAAATAGAAAAGTGTAATTTTTTATAAACGCAGTGTTACGTACTTAATTTACGTCATAAACAAACAGGGCTTTAATAAGTGTACAAATAAGATTGAGTCAAGCATCTCCACGTCATCAAGTCTAAGCATTCCACGACCACAAAATATTCTAGAAGTAAAACGGTTTCTAGGGGTTATAAATTACTATCGTAAGTTCATACCTAGGGCATCGTCATATGACGTCTCCTATTCAGTCCTCTATTATACGTCTCCTATGGTAATGGCCAAGCCGAAAAGCCGTACGCACTTGTAAAAAAATGCCTAAATGTATCTTAAGTTATAATTTAAATTTAAGCAATGAACGTAAGAATAAAATGTTGTTAAGATAAGGGTGAAACTCCCTAAACGTTAATTTTCGGCAGTGAACCGCGACGTGATTAGATTTAATTTCACCGCCTACGAACACAGACATGCAAAAATCTTGTGATATTAGTGTAAGGCGATTTAATATTGGTGAAAGGGTTTAAGCGCGTTGTTATATGTCCCGTAAACCATTTTGGTGCAAAGCTACAATTGTGAGTAGAGAAGGTAACAGAATGTATACGGTTTCAGTTGCTGGTCAAGGTCTCTGCAAGCGACACGTAGACCAAATGCTGCGATATACGTACACAGACAAACTACACGAGACCGCAAATGACGTATGTTGTGTATCAGCATTTCACCCGCAGTATCCGACTGCCATCTCCCCCGCACCTCCTCCCGTTGGTATGCCGGATAATAAAAATAACGCTCCGCCAAACGGCACAGCATTCACGAATACGCATTCTTATGCCGACACATCTTCACGAGAAGGCAGTGAGCCAACTTTAACGCTAGATGCGGATAGACGCGAGGTGGTGGTGGCAGAAGGACATAGTGTCTCGGTGGTAGGGATAATAATCGATCGACAGGATAGTGGGGAACAACCAGAGTCTGCTGTTGCACCTAAGCCCGGTCCTTCCCCTTCCACATAGTGATACCGAACAGAGCATCCCTAGCTTCCGTTATAATCCAAGACCAAGAAAAAAGAAAATAAAATTTATAAATTACCTTTTTTTGTTGTTATTAGGTTCTCAAGTCAATGCGAAAAATGATGATATATATGCGCACAAGTACTTAGAAATAATGAATCATCATCATCATTACAGCCCTTCACAAGTCTACTGCTGAACATAGGCCTCCCCCAAGTTATGCCACAAAGCACGGTCCAGGTCGTCACGCGATCTAGTGGGGGTCGCCCTACACTTCACCTATTGGTACGATTCTGCCACTCGAGAAGCTTTTTTCCCCATCGGTTGTCGGTTCTTCGAGCTATATGGCCGACCCATTGCCACATCAGCTTACTAATCCGTTGGACTACGTCGCTCACTCTGGTTCTACCGCGGATATGCTCATTTCTTAGTCTATCACGCAGATAATTCCCAAGTATAGCCCTCTCCATAGCTCGCTGAGCGACTTTGAGCGTCCTCATACGGCCAGCAGTGAAGGACCACGTCTCGGTTCCATAGGTCATCACTGGCAACACGCACTGGTTGTACAATATAGTTTTCAGGTTTTGAGGTATACCTGACGAGAAGATGTGTCGTAATTTCCCGAACGCTGCCCAGCCGAGTTGAATCCGCCGATTGATCTCTCGGTCGAAGTTGGACTTACCTAGTCGGACTATTTGTCGCACAGCATACTACAGCATAGTGCTCACAAAAACCACCGGCATATTTTTGACATGAACATTAAACATGATCTTTTTTTTTGTCCATGTTCATCTTAAGACCTATCCGTTGGGAGGCTCTATTGAGGTCATTGAGCATAATGCTTAAGTCCTCCAACGATTATGCCATAAGAACTATATCGTCGGCAAATCGAAGGTGAGTGATGTACTCGCCATTGATGTTAATACCGTATCTTTTCCAGTCCATGAGACTTGAAGACGTCTTCCAATGCAGCGGTGAAGAGTTTCGGGGATATAACGTCACCCTGTCTTACATATTTTTGCAGTTGCATAGGTTTCGTACTCTGGTTCTGTACTCGGATAGCCATCGTAGCCCTACTGTACAAACACTTCAGTACTTCGATATGCCGACAGTCAACTTGGTACCACTGAATGGACTGCAGCACCGCTCAAACTTCGACGGAATCAAATGCTTTCTCATAGTCCACATACGCCAGGCAAAGTGGCAGATTGAACTCTTCGGACTTCTGCACAATTTGCCGAAGGGTATGTATGTGGTCTATGTTACTAAAGTCTTTTTGTAAACCGGCTTGTTCGGAAGGCTGGAAGTCGTCGAGCCTGCGTGCGAGACAATTCGTAATGACTTTCGAAAACAGCATGTAGACCCGGCTCAGGTGGGAAATCGGTCTGTAGTTCTTCAAGAGAGCGATGATATTGCCTTTCTTGAAGAACAAGACCACCGCACTTCTGCTCCACGCCTGGGAAGTAATGCCTCCATGGAGGACGGAAGTAAAGAGCTTCTGAAGGACTTCAAGTACCGGTTTTCCACCCGCTTTCAGAAGCTCCGCTGTAATTCCATCCTCGCCCTGGGACTTGCCATTTTTAAGGTGCTGGAGAGCCATTCTAATCTCGCTTAGACTGACGTCCGGGATATCATCGGAATAGTGCCGGATAATACTTGCTCTTGGATCGTTACTCACACTTGCGTGTGGCTCCAACGATGATGTGTACAGCTGCCCATAGAACCTCTCAATCTCACTCAAAATCTCGGGTGTCCCGGAAACGATGCCGCCACACTCAGTCTTCAGCTTTGACAGTTGGCTCTTTCTGCCAGACAGATCTCTGGCAACAAAAGTCTTTGGAGAAAGACTTTGGAGTCCTGGTTCCGCTCAATCGCTTCTTCAATACGAGCTGTATTGAATTTGTGTCAGTCTTGCCGCATGCATTTGGAGATCTGTCTGTTCAGTTGCCTGTATGCTGTTAAATTTGCTGAAGACTGCAGCTGTAACTCCCGTCTAACAGCAATGAGATTAAGAGTGTGATCGGAGAGATTTTTGTGTTCTTCAGCGCCGGGTATTGCAGAACTTAGCTCCGAACGCATGGACAGTTTCTACGGGCTTGTCATTCATATCGTCCACTGAAACTAGAAGAAGAAAAACATAAAGAATGAATCGGTAATAAAATAATTCTCTGGCATAATGATTTCTTAAATTTACGCGAACACTACACATTGAATAAAACTATTATTTACGGATTTTATCGCGTTTAATTACTTTAATTTATTTTTATTATTATCCCGACGTTTCGGGTGCTTTACAGCACCCAGGGGGGACTTAGATGTTTGACGTCCCTACACTCTCTAAAATTTCAAAATCGGACCAAAAATTAATATTCAACTGAAGTACGGCAAATGACATTAGGACGTCAAACATCTCAGTCCCCCCCCCGTGACCATGGGTGCTGTAAAGCACCCGAAACGTCGGGATAATAATAAAAATAAATTAAAGTAATTAAACGCGATAAAATCCGTAAATAATAGTTTTATTCAATAATTCTCTGGCAGTTCGGTCTTTTCATTTAAACTTAGTTGTAGCATCGCATTGGTTTGATAACTGTAATGATGTTATAATTGCGTAATAAATAATAAAAATAAATAAATAAATAAATCGCACACTACAAGTATACACTACAAGGTTACACTCTGTATAAAAAATCCGCTCCAAAAGACAAGTCTCGTATCTTCGAGTGGTGTCAAGTGAATATATCATTTCGTATTTACGTGTGTGTGTATTTTCAAATAATTAAGTTTTGATACGCAGATAAAATATCGAACTGCGTAGTCTGTGGCTCGCTTAACAGACGAAACGTCTGGTACTATGATCGTCAAGTCGTTTGCTATGCATGACTTAGGCAAGTTCTCCTTACAATGGGAGAAGGTTATGTCCAGAAGTAGACCTTTGAGAACTGATTACTATGTAGAAGAAAGAGTCGCTTACGTTATGGTAGTAGCCTATGAAGACCATCTCCTGTAGAGGCATCCTCCTGTTGAGGATATGCAGCCACTGCCTCTCCAGCCCCACTTAGTTCATGTGGATATCACGGGTGGGAACTGCTTCGTAGCCACTCTCCAGACGCTTGTCCTGGAATAGGTAGAAGAATCTTTTAAGATTCGATTTGAAGATTTCGATCTAATTATAATAAAAATAGATATATGGGCAGGTATGGTCATCATTTTTTATAGAATTAGGGTGACAAACGAGCACGTAGTCCACCTGATGATAAGTGGATGCTGTGACCAAATGACACCTACATCGATCCTCTATGAAGACTAATAATGGGTTCACCTAGTAGATTAATAACATATTTAACACATGCATTTGTTTGCAATGCAGTTTGAAGACCTCACTGTTGGGATACGAATGTACTTGTCCAGAGCAACTGTGGGGGCACTGCGGGGCAGTTGGCGGGTCCACCTTGTGCTAGCGCACTTCACTGAGTCTGATAGACAATACATGCGGTTGGCGCGAGCGTTTTTTATAGTATGTATTTGTTTAACTAATTTTAATTGCCGTTTTTGAAAAATATAATATCTAGAATGGTCAATTAGTGTTATATGTGTTACTAAGTAAAATTGAGATTTTCTGAATTTTTTTAGACTAACTTGTTTATCCGAATGCGAATACAAAAGAAATTGTCACGAAAATATTTGGCAGTGCAACAACTTGTAAATGTGTTTTTCTTGAAGTAATAAAAAATGATCTCGTTCGATAAATGTTATTAACTCATAAGTATGTACATAACGGTAATAAATGATAGTGAATATTATAATATCGTAATAAATGATAGTGAATATTATAATATCGTAATAAATGATAGTGAATATTATAATATCGTATAATAAGGACGCTCAAAGTCGCTCAGCTAGCTATGGAGAGGGCTATGCTTGAAGTTTCTCTGCGTGATAAAATTAGAAATGAGGATTAGGACCGCAGTAGAACCAGAGTGACCGACATAGCCCAACGGATTAGTAAGCTGAAGTAGCAATGGGCCGGCCATATAGCTCGAAGTACCGACAACCGTTGGGGAAAAAAGGTTCTCGAGTGGCAGCCTCGTACCGGTAGGCGAAGTGTAGGGCGACCCCACACTAGATGGAGTGACGACCTGGTAACCTGAAAATGAGCTGAATTGCTGAAGAGCTGAATTTGACATGAAATTCGACAAAGCAGTTTGAGAGACAAGCTAGAGGTTTCCAACTGTTAATAAAATTGATGTTATCAATATGTTTCATAATTCGGAACATACCGATCCAAGATTATATTTCAACAAAATAGATAATCTTAAATAAGAATAAGTGTAAGGTATCCTCCAAATAGATGGTGTGATGACCTGAATAGAATAGAATAATTTTTTATTAAATATAGATTACGTGTAATTCACATTGAAAGTCATTTTTTTTAAAAACCTCTGTCCTGGTAAGAACCAGCAAGAAATACAACCGAACTTTTTTTTAAATTTTACAATGTGAATGGTTACAAAAATATTTACATTTAATATTACATTCATCCTGGTAAGACATGAAGAAAGTCGATGGATGCAGGCGGCTCTGGATCGTTTTTGTAGCATTCCTGGAGGGAGCCCTGTGTTTGGCAATGGATTTTGAATGGTTGTAGTGATGAATGATGATTATGAAAGATACCGAGCCATGATGGTAGATGTTTTGGTGGGGATGAGAGAACACCCACTGTCCCACATCGTTCCGTGAGTGTCGTAATAGGCGACGAAGGAAACAAATGTACGTGGTAGAGCCACGCCGCAACTATATTATAGTTGTAGCACCGGGGCAGGACCACGCTCTTACAGAATACCACCATAAAGTAGCAGTGTAATGCCGCTGTGTTTCATAAGGTGAGTGTAGGGAACTGTAGACCATTTTTACGGGAATCGAGGCATTCAATCTTAGTCCTCAGGGGTAACAACGCACTTGCTGATCCTTTGTTGAGGATAAATGTGAATGTCTATGGGCCACAGCATCCACTTATCATCAGGTGGACTGTGTGCTCGTTGTGCTTCGTCACACAATACTTTAAAAAATAAGGACGAGTAGCAGTGTCTTCATAAAAACTAGAAAATAAAAAAATCAGCGGTCGCCAATCCGCGTCCTAAGCTTGGTAACATGGCGGCTTTGAAAGATTGTAAAGAACGAATGAATGTATGTATATTCCATACGCTCGATAGTGGATTGTTAAAACTGTGACTGTATCCAAAGTAGTAAAGTAAAGTATCCATCACCCCATTTAGTCCCGTTAGTACCGTAAGAGAACTATGGGATATAGCTATCTCGGTTACGTCAGACGTTAAGATATAAGATCAGCTAAGTTGATACAACTAAGGCAAATTGCTCCTTCAAAAGGATAGGCCCATGTTTAAATAAATAATGTTTAATTTTTAAAAGGCTGAAAATGATTAAAAAAATTAAAATAGGAGAGGACCTTCTTCAGCAATAGACTAATATGAGTCGATAAAGAAAAAAGATAAAAAATGAAGAAGATGAGAATAGCAGAAAGAGATTCATAACTAAACGGAAAAACACAAAATAAAGCACAAAATCATTAGTTGCTGGGAGAGCGCCAACTGCGACTTCTGCATTGCCCGGTGCAGATCGTTCTATAGAGAAATAAGCATTTACTGTTAGCACTTATACGAGTACATTAAGTGGTAAAGCAAGAAATTCAAAAATATACTCACAAACATATTCTCAAGGGACCGCTTGGCCAACCAACAGTTGAGAAAGACCGCGATGAACAGGTTTCGAAGTGGTGGAAATGGTATCTGTAATACATAATATATTTCTAATTAAGCCTTGAACTTCACATAAAAATAAACGAAAAATTACTTCGAAAACTAAAAAGTATATAATCCTTTCCACATTATAGCTTCTAAATCCGAAACTAAAATATAGTGTATCTAGGAATCAATGCTAGGCTTTAATTCCTGGATATTCCTTAAGCTATTACGCGGAAATTATTATATTCTCTTAAGTTTTCGAATTCGGTTTTAGTTTATTTTAGAAATATTTGTGACATTAAAATCTTCGTCCACTATTTTTCAAACACTAAGAATGCAATTTTAGCTGAAAATTTATATGACGCCTAAAGAACAACGTATTTAATAAAAATTATTAACATCCGTAAATATACCAAGAAATTATTCAATATGACATTAAAATGCCGTAAAAACGTTATTAATAAACTCAACCATAAAATGAAAATCTCGTAAACTCGATTCAGTTCAGAATAAGATATATAGTAACATAGAACTATGGAAAATTATATACAGTTAATATATAAAAATATGTCAATTTAAAATTAAAGTTCTTTATGTAAACATTTAGAGATCTGCCCGGCTTGGCACGGGTGATTTCTGGATCCTACCGGGTTGTTTTATGAATATAAACCGTTCAGGAACTTACTCAAACACACAAAAATTTTATCCAAATCCATCCGCAATACCACAGAAATTTTTAAGTACAATTTTAAGTGCTGATTCAACACGTGCTCGGTGGTGAAGGAAAAAACCGCATGACTCAGAAACACCAAAAAAAGCGATGACATGTGAAGTTGGGGCAGCGCAGTGCGGTGGACATGTCCTTGCTCTAAAACCCTCTCAGAAATGAGAGGAGTCCTGTACCACACCCCCACTGTCCAGTCGTTTGGGAGAAGTTCAGTGACAAACAAACGTACAGAAGAATTGTATAAAATATAAAGGTTAGCGTACATACACACCTTACTGACGAATTCTAATAAATGGATAAAAAAACGAACCGATTTTATATAAAAATACTAGATGTTAGTATAAAACATACTGTATTGGTATAATTAAGTAATATCGTACTGGAATAGTATTAACTGGTGATATTGGAGAAAATGAGAAAGTCAATGGTTTTGTATTACAGTATCTCAGATAGTAATTAGTAGAAAGTTATCCTTAAAAAAATAGTGTAACGTATTAAATAGAAATGAAATAATATAATATATAAATATAGCATAGTAAAAGTATTTAGATTATTATTACGGTTTCAAATAAAAAGAAAAAAGTGACATTTAAATTTTTGTAATAGTTACTGCTAGAATGGCTTGGTAATAGTCAGAGTGGAAAACTTGAACTTGAAATATTTGTTTACATGTATTCGTCATGCCATCTATAGATATATGTATACTTATTTGATTTTAATTAAAATATGGGTACTTACAGTTATTACGAGCGGGATCGTATTCACCATTTCCAGTATGAAATGGAAAGATAGCACTTGTTGCCAGATGTTACCCTTAAATAGAAATAAATATATAAATTTCTAAAAAAATATATTATATAAACTTATTACGCCATAACTTCTATCTATTTATTAGAATATCTAATTTGTTTTTAATTTACCTAACCGTGTTATAAGTAAGTATAACTTAAAAGAAAATTAACTTTCAAATTCCAACGACATTTCAAAAGGCCTAATAATTTAAATTTGATAAAAAAAAGATTAAATCTAAATTGTATCTCAGGCAAACAACTAGTCGTTTATTATTCGTAAACTCATTTTTACATTTCCTTTTAGAGATGATGCCGAAATTGACATTCTCGAGTTTGAATATAGAATGTTAAGAAATTATTTTTATAAATCTACGAAATTAAATTATATTCTTATTATACCCTTTTTATTGCTAACGAGGAATTCAATCTTAGTCCGCAGGATTAGCAATTCATCTACACTTTGTTTTCTTAATCTAGGATAGATATAGATGCCCTTTCAGCATCCATCACTGTAGACTGTCTGCACCTCTAATACGTAAAATTTGGTAATCATGTCAAGGCAACCCACCTTATAGCCTAAATAGGCCAACAGTATAGCTTTGGTGAAAGATATCATTGCTAAGATGACCTGGACGATCCACAAGTAGAGTGATGCCATCCCAGTGACCCAGTGACCCAAATGATGCCATCCCAGTTGATGATCGGATGTTCTTGAAATTCTTTCCGTGAAGTTGGCAGAATACTCGAATTCAGTCTTGTTCCCAGGCTTGCAACCGAAACTAAAACAAGATTTAATGATTTCTTATATTTACGCGAACACTACACATTTAAATAAAACTAGTTTTTATGGATTTTATCACGTATATTTACTTTTTTATATTCCCGACGTATCTAGCACTGAAGTGTTATAGTTAGTCATTTTTCTCCTCAATAGGCTCGGCCTTGGCTAACAAAATTCCTAATAAGTATCAGATAAACAGCGGTAACACGCTTATGTACGAACTTAACTATACACTCGTAATAACACTTAGTGAACTTACACCTTGTAATATTACTGAAGTATTACACTAGTACTGGTCTAGATGGCATGAGCACCAAAGCAATTAAATGCCTAAAAATTGTAATTGTAGAGAGACTAACGAACTGCATAAATATGTGTTTGACACGCGGTGTTTTTCCCGACAACCTTAAAATTGTTAGGTCAGTCCTATTTTTAAATCGGGAAGTAGGACTGACTCAAGTAACTACAGACCAATCTCGCTCTTGCCTGTTATATCAAAGATATTTGAACGAATACTTTATAAGCGCCTAAATGAATACCTAATAAAAAAGAAGTTTTTAATTGACCAACAATATGGCTTTCGTTCCAAATTGAGCACTCTGACAGCTGCAGTAGACAATCACAAAAATTAAAACTCAAATCGATCAAAGGAATTTCGCTTTAGGGATTTTTATGGACATAAAAAGGATTTGATACAGTAAGCCATCATAAATTGTTGCAGAAACTAAACAACATAGGCGTTACAGGCAAGGCCCTTGAAATGTTCTCATGGTTTTTACATAATAGGCGACAAGCTGTTCAAATGGATAATTTTACCAGCTCGATTAAAAACGTATCCTACGGCTGTCCTCAAGGCTCAATTATAAGCCCATTATTGTTTTTAATTTATATAAATAATGTAAATAAATTAGGGCTAACAGGGCACCTAACATTATATGCCGACGACACATGTCTCTTCTATTTCGATAAATCTATTCACAACATTATAACCTATGCTCAAAAAGATCTTGACTTAATCGGAGAATGGTTAAAATATAACTTGCTATCAATTAATATGTCAAAAACATCTTTCATGATTTTTTCTACAAAGAATAAA